GCTAGGCCATGGTTCTGGGCTAGCCATCTACCCAGCGATGGTAGATTTCACCCATGCATGGGTAAGTGATCCCGGGATTCCAGAATCATGCCACCCAGCGATGGGAAGATCTTCCCATCGATGGGTAAGCAGTCCCTTAGCCAAACCAACTTCCAGAACCATGCCAAACAGCGATGGGAAGTTCTACCCATCGCTGTTAAAGCCTTGGTGCAACATTACCACAAGGCAGAATGCCCTTACCCAGCGATGGGAAGCTTTACCCATCGATGGGAACCCAGCGATGGGAAGGCTTAACCATCGATGGGAAGGCATGACTGTTTGGAGTCATTTAAGGCTGATTCTTTCCTTATTTGAAAGTCAACCTCCCACCCAGCGATGGGAAGCATTTACCCATCGATGGGTAGGTAACCGTTGGCTTCAAAACTAAAGGAAAATTGGCTTACCAGCGATGGGTAAGTCCTAAACATCGATGGGAAGCCAATATTCTGCAGATCCCAAATCTTTTCAATCCCATAAATCAAGCCAATCACCCCTTTAATGCATTGGTCCGTTGGAGCCTATTTTGGCACTATAAAAAGGGGTGTTTGGGTCTGCTTTACACACCAATTCACTTCACAATATTCATATTATCATTGCATTCAAACAACATCATTTTTCATAGCTTTCTAGAGCCAATTTGTGAAGTTTGAGTTGTTCTTGAGCGTATACAGTTTACTCAATATCTACTCTTAAGGAGAGTCTTGTTCTTGAGTGTCTTAGTGTTGTATACAGGTTAAGGGAAGCTTGTTTCCCTTGGTTGTACGAAGGAAAGGTAATTTCCTTCGGGTTGAAGTCTTGGAGTGCGGTATCTCCGAGCAAGGTTGTTGAGGCTCGTGGGACTCGAGTTCTCAGGTTGTAACGGTTTGTTAAGCACCCGTAAGCTTAACGGAAGTAGTGTAGCTCGAGAGAGTCTCTCGGGAGACTGGATTAGCCACACGTTGTGGTGAACCAGTATAAATCTTGGTGTGCTCCCTTTACGCTTTCTACGCTCTTTACTTTTCACGTTCTTAATTTTTT